ATTCATAAAAAGAGTTGAAATTAATGCATGCAAGATTTCACAGCTCTAGCCTAAATCCTTCATAGGTAGCCAGTGAACTTTTCAGCGCACAATTTTACCTGGAAAGAAACAAAGCCGTTATTAATGAGAAGATTTGAAATTAATGCATGCTGGATTTCACAGATCTCACCTCTCATTCCTTCACATTCAGCCTCTGAATATTCCAGCCCACAATCATACATGGGAAGAAAGAATGCAATTATTCATAAAAAGAGTTGAAATTAATGCATGCAAGATTTCACAGCTCTAGCCTAAATCCTTCATAGGTAGCCAGTGAACTTTTCAGCGCACAATTTTACCTGAAAGAAACAAAGCCGTTATTAATGAGAAGATTTGAAATTAATGCATGCTGGATTTCACAGATCTCACCTCATTCCTTCACATTCAGCCTCTGAATATTCCAGCCCACAATCATACATGGGAAGAAAAGAATGCAATTATTCATAAAAAGAGTTGAAATTAATGCATGCAAGATTTCACAGCTCTAGCCTAAATCCTTCATAGGTAGCCAGTGAACTTTTCAGCGCACAATTTTACCTGGAAAGAAACAAAGCCGTTATTAATGAGAAGATTTGAAATTAATGCATGCTGGATTTCACAGATCTCACCTCATTCCTTCACATTCAGCCTCTGAATATTCCAGCCCACAAACATACATGGGAAGAAAGAATGCAATTATTCATAAAAGAGTTGAAATTAATGCATGCAAGATTTCACAGCTCTAGCCTAAATCCTTCATAGGTAGCCAGTGAACTTTTCAGCGCACAATTTTACCTGGAAAGAAACAAAGCCGTTATTAATGAGAAGATTTGAAATTAATGCATGCTGGATTTCACAGATCTCACCTCATTCCTTCACATTCAGCCTCTGAATATTCCAGCCCACAAACATACATGGGAAGAAAAGAATGCAATTATTCATAAAAAGAGTTGAAATTAATGCATGCAAGATTTCACAGCTCTAGCCTAAATCCTTCATAGGTAGCCAGTGAACTTTTCAGCGCACAATTTTACCTGGAAAGAAACAAAGCCGTTATTAATGAGAAGATTTGAAATTAATGCATGCTGGATTTCACAGATCTCACCTCATTCCTTCACATTCAGCCTCTGAATATTCCAGCCCACAAACATACATGGGAAGAAAGAATGCAATTATTCATAAAAAGAGTTGAAATTAATGCATGCAAGATTTCACAGCTCTAGCCTAAATCCTTCATAGGTAGCCAGTGAACTTTTTCAGCGCACAATTTTACCTGGAAAGAAACAAAGCCGTTATTAATGAGAAGATTTGAAATTAATGCATGCTGGATTTCACAGATCTCACCTCATTCCTTCACATTCAGCCTCTGAATATTCCAGCCCACAATCATACATGGGAAGAAAGAATGCAATTATTCATAAAAAGAGTTGAAATTAATGCATGCAAGATTTCACAGCTCTAGCCTAAATCCTTCATAGGTAGCCAGTGAACTTTTCAGCGCACAATTTTACCTGGAAAGAAACAAAGCCGTTATTAATGAGAAGATTTGAAATTAATGCATGCTGGATTTCACAGATCTCACCTCATTCCTTCACATTCAGCCTCTGAATATTCCAGCCCACAAACATACATGGGAAGAAAGAATGCAATTATTCATAAAAAGAGTTGAAATTAATGCATGCAAGATTTCACAGCTCTAGCCTAAATCCTTCATAGGTAGCCAGTGAACTTTTTCAGCGCACAATTTTACCTGGGAAGAAACAAAGCCGTTATTAATGAGAAGATTTGAAATTAATGCATGCTGGATTTCACAGATCTCACCTCATTCCTTCACATTCAGCCTCTGAATATTCCAGCCCACAAACATACATGGGAAGAAAAGAATGCAATTATTCATAAAAAGAGTTGAAATTAATGCATGCAAGATTTCACAGCTCTAGCCTAAATCCTTCATAGGTAGCCAGTGAACTTTTCAGCGCACAATTTTACCTGGAAAGAAACAATTTCGTTATTTATATGAAGATTTGAAATTAATGTATGCAAGATTTCACAGCTCTAGCGTAAATTTTCATATTCAGGCTATAAACGGTTCAGACGTCAATCGTACCTACGAAGAAACAATGCAGTTATGAATCAGAAGTGTTGAAATGAATGTATGCAAGCTTTCACAGTTCTAGCATCATTCGTTCATAGTCAGCCTAGGAACTTTTCAGCCCACTATCGCACATGGAAATAAACAATGCAGTTATTAATATGAAGAGTTGAAATTAATTCATGCAATATTTCACACCTCTAGAATCATTTTATCATATTCAGGCTAAGAACAGTTCAGACCACAATCTTACCTATGAAGAAACAATGCAATTATTCATAAAAAAATTCATAAAAATATTCTGCCTATGATCTTTTCAGCCCACACTCGTACATGAAAAGATAAAATGCTGTTACTAATAAGAAAAGTCGAAATTAATGCCTGCATGATTTCATAGCTTTAGCCTCACTCCTTCATAGTCAGCCTATGAACTTGTCAGCCCACACTCGCACCTGAGAAGGAACAATGCAGTTACTATTAAGAAGAGTTGAAATTAATGCTTGCAAGATTTCACATCTTTAGCCTCAATCCTTCATTTTCAGCCTATGATCTTTTCATTCCGTAATCGTACCTGGGAAGAAACAATATAGTTATTAATAAGATTTGATAATGAATGCATGCAAGATTTCACGGCTCTAACCTCATCCCTTTATAGTTATCCTATGGACATTTCAGCCCACAATCGTACTTGGGAAGAAACAATGCAGTTATTAATAAGAAAATTTGAAATTAATGCATGAAAGTTTTCACAGCTTAACCATTACTCCTTCATAGATAGTCTGTGAACCTTTTAGCCCACGCTCATAAATGATTAATTATCAGTTATTTTCTTTATATCTAATTCAATTTTCCTATCTTTTATCTTGCTTCGTTACTGAACGTCTTCTGATGTATGTTCCATTTTGCGTTTTCTGCTACTACACAACGTTGTTAGTTGAAATTTTTGCCTACTTTACTTTGACTTCTTTAATCTCGGTTAACTTTTTGTCATGGATTGTCAACCTTATATGGGTTATTTAATTCTGAAACATACGCTTTGATTTTAAGAATATTTTTTTATTGCTACTGAATATTGCGTTAACATTTTTATTTTGAGAAAATAATGATTTTCAGATACATTTACTATTTAACTATTAAAATATTACTATTTAAACTTACTATTTAACCAATAGAAAGAGATTGATTCATACGTTTCTCGAAGGTATTTGCGCGTATTTGCTTAACTTCGTTGATCGCACGAAAACTGATGTTTCAATGTGACCGTAAGTTTGCCGTCCTCAACAAGTCTATTGGACTGATCTCTGTTATTCTACAACTATACTTCATGTAATTCTATGGCTAATATTTAGTACTTTCTTTTTGCTTTCATTTACTGCTTTAGGCAACAGTTTTGATTAATTAACCTAGTGAAATATTACGCTTTAATAGACTAACTTTTTGTTGTGATTCTATTTATTACTAATATTTATTTATTAATAACATTTCATTTATTACTTAAATTTTATTTATTATTTCATTTATTACTTAAAATTTATTTTCATTTATTACTTAAATTTTATTTTTTATTTATTTATTACTTAAATTTTATTTTTCATTTATTATTTAAATTTTATTTATTATTAACATTTCATTTATTACTTAAATTTTATTTATTACTAAATTTCATTTTTTACTTAATTTACTTATTAAACATTTCATTTTTATTAAACTTTAACATTTCATTTATTACTTAAATTTTATTTATTACTAACATTTCATTAATTACTTAAATTTTATTTATTACTAACATTTCATTTATTACTTAAATTTTATTTATTACTAACATTTCATTTATTACTTAAATTTTATTTATTACTAACATTTTTTTTATTACTTAAATTTTATTTATGACTAACATTTTTTTTTATTACTTACTGTTGTGGTACGATCCACCTAATTTGCATAGTGGAGTACCGACCATATAAATATGGTTGGTACCGGGAAGACGGGGGAGGAAGAAGAGATCCAATCCAGAGACTCTGCCCGACTGCGACTAAGTCAACCCATTATGCAGGAACGGTCTTCCCAAGAATATACCAAACTATCTGTAAATATTGTGTACACTTTCTTGTTTCGATTCATTTTGATTAAGTACATTTTGTGTTGTATTATTATTATTCCATGCTTTATTCAAGTTTCAACACTTACATTTTATTTCGGATCGATGTTCAAATTCCGATCGGTCTGGGCTACTGAATTTCACCTTTTTTTGACTAAGTATCTCCCATATCATCGGAGACAAATGACGCTACACCCAATCACCACCTGTGCCTTTTTTCGTGCGCTTACATAATCGGTGATGCCCAGGTATTAGAAGCATCCACCTGGGGATGGGGATGTACGGTTGAGCGCAACATGCGATCTTTTCAAATACGCGCATAGGCACACACACATACACACACACGCACGCACACAGACAGACGGCAACTATCGAATTTGTCGTACACACGAGCATCAAGCTCAAAAGTAGTCAGTATGCCATTTACTTTTCAGCTATCGAGGAAAACAGAAGAAAGCGTCGTCGTTAGGACACCATATAAGGTGTTCTCTGATATGACGTCACGCATTGATCAATAAAAATTACTGTGCTGCCACCTACCGGCTACTTCTCGCAGCGTATGGACTTCCCCGCTGTGTACACGTGCAAGTATGATAAATAAATAAATAAATAAATAAATAAAAGCAAATGAAACAAGACGTTAATGCTGCATCGTAGCTTAAGTGTAAAGCACCTGAGCAAGAGAAATAGGCTCAGAAAAGTTTGCGAGAAAAAAGAGAGTTGTAGAGAAAGAATGGGATGAGAAAGAAAGAGGAAGAGAATGACGAAAGTGTTAGGGTCGGGCTTAGTAACAGGAGAGGGAGTGAAAAGGGAATGATTGGAAAAGCAGAGCAAGGTGAATGATTGGAAAAGGAGAGCAAGTTGAATGATTGGAAAAGGAGTGCAAACTGAATGATTGGAAAAGGAGAGCAAGGTGAATGATTGGAAAATGAGAGCAAGGTGAATGATTGGAAAAGGAGTGCAAAGTGAATGATTGGAAAAGGAGAGCAAGGTGAATGATTGGAAAAGGAGAGCAAGGTGAATGATTGGAAAAGGAGTGCAAAGTGAATGATTGGAAAAGGAGAGCAAGGTGAATGATTGGAAAAGGAGAGCAAGGTGAATGATTAGAAACGGAGAACACGGTGAATGATGGGAGAAACGAGAGTAAAGTGAATAAAGTCAGAAGGAGAGCAAAGTCAATGATTGGAAAAGGAGAGCAATGTGAATGATGGGGAAAGCAGAGTAAGATGACTGATGGAAAAGAAAAACAAAGTGAATGATGCGAAAAGGAGAGCAAGGTGAATGTTGAGGAAAGGAGAGCAAGGTGAATGAATGGAAAAGGAGAGAAAGGTGAATGATTAGAAAGGAGAGCAAAGTGAGAAAGGTGAATGTTGAGGAAAGGAGAGCAAGGTGAATGATGGAAAAGGAGAGCAACCTGAATTATGGAAAAAGTAGTGTAAAGCGAATGATTAGAAAAGCAGAGCAAGATGAATGATTAGGAAAAAAAAGGAAAATGAATGATGGGGAAAGTCAGTACAAGCTGAATTATGTGAAAAGGAGAACAAAGTGAATGATGGGAAAAAGAGAGCAATGTGAATGATATGAGGAGAGTAAAGGGTAAGATGGGAAAAGAGAGCAAGGTGTATTATGGGAAAAGGAGAGTAATGTGAATGATGGGAAAAGCAGAACAAGCTGAATGATGGGAAAAAGAGAGCAAGGTGAATGATAGGAGGAGAGTAAAGTGACTGATGGGAAAATAAGAGCAAAGTGAATGATGGGAAAAGGAGAGCAAAGTGAGTGATGGAAATCGGGTGCAACGTGAATAATGGGAAAGGGGGAGCAAAGGTTGTAAGCATGGAAAGAAGGTGGACAGTCGGTAGAATAGGTAACTAATAGTTCAAGAAAGAGAAGGAAAAAGAAAAGGAGGGCCAAACGAATTAGGAATATATAAGAGGTGGAAAGAAAGAACAAAAGGAATGATAAGATAAATGAGGTTTGAGCAAGAAAGAGAGAGAGGGAGAAAGAAAGAAAGAAAGAAAGAAAGAAAGAAAGACAAGGTCTATAATGTAGGAAGAAGAGAGGAAGAATGAAAGGAAGAGATCTATAATGTAGGAAGAAGAGAGGAAGAAAGAAAGGACGAGGTCTATAATGTAGGAGGAAGAGAGGAAGAAAGAAAGAACGAGGTCTATAATGTAGGAAGAAGAGAGGAAGAAAGAAAAGACGAGGTCTATAATGTAGGAAGAGGAGAGGAAGAAAGAAAAGACGAGGTCTATAATGTAGGAAGAAGAAAGGAAGAAAGAAAAGACGAGGTCTATCATGTAGGAAGAAGAGAGGAAGAAAGAAAGAACGAGGTCTATAATGTAGGAAGAAGAGAGGAAGAAAGAAAAGACGAGGTCTATAATGTAGGAAGAAGAGAGGAAGAAAGAAAAGACGAGGTCTATCATGTAGGAAGAAGAGTGGAAGAAAGAAAGAACGAGGTCTATAATGTAGGAAGAAGAGAGGAAGAAAGAAAAGTCGAGGTCTATAATGTAGGAAGAAGAGAGGAAGAAAGAAAAGTCGAGGTCTATAATGTAGGAAGAAGAGAGGAAGAAAGAAAAGACGAGGTCTATCATGTAGGAAGAAAAGAGGAAGAAAGAAAGAACGAGGTCTATAATGTAGGAAGAAGAGAGGAAGAAAGAAAAGACGAGGTCTATAATGTAGGAAGAGGAGAGGAAGAAAAGAAAAAGACGAGGTCTATAATGTAGGAAGAAGAGGAAAAAAGAAAAAGACGAGGTCTATAATGTAGGAAGAAGAGAGGAAGAAAGAAAGAACGAGGTCTATAATGTAGGAAGAAGAGAGGAAGAAAGAAAAGACGATGTCTATAATGTAGGAAGAAGAGAGGAAGAAAAAAAAGAGAAGGTCTATAATGTAGGAAGAAGAGAGGAAGAAAGAAAAGACGAGGTCTATAATGTAGGAAGAAGAGAGGAAGAAAGAAAGTACGAGGTCGATAATGTAGGAAGAAGAGAGGATGAAAGAAAAGACGAGGTCTATAATGTAGGAAGAAAAGAGGAAGAAAGATATGACGAGGTCTATAATGTAGGAAGAAGAGAGGAAGAAAGAAAAGACGAGGTCTATAATGTAGGATGAAGAGAGGAAGAAAGAAAGAACGAGGTCTATAATGTAGGAAGAAGAAAGAAAAGTCGACGTCTATAATGTAGGAAGAAGAGAGGAAGAAAGAAAGAAGGAGGTCTATAATGTAGAAAGAAGAGAGGAAGAAAGAAAGAAAGAGGTCTATAATGTAGGAAGAAGAGAGGAAGAAAGAAAGAAGGAGGTCTATAATGTAGAAAGAAGAGAGGAAGAATGAAAGGACGAGGTCTATAATGTAGGAAGAAGAGAGGAAGAAAGAAAGAACGAGGTCGATAATGTAGGAAGAAGAGAGGATGAAAGAAAGGACGAGGTCTATAATGTAGGAAGAAGAGAGGAAGAAAGATAAGACGAGGTCTATAATGTAGGAAGAAGAGAGGAAGAAAGAAAAGACAGAGGTCTATAATGTAGGAAGAAGAGAGGAAGAAAGAAAGAACGAGGTCTATAATGTAGGAAGAAGAGAGGAAGAAAGAAAGAAGGTGGTCTATAATGTAGGAAGAAGAGAAGAAGAAAGAAAAGACGAGGTCTATAATGTAGGAAGAAGAGAGGAAGAAAGAAAAGACGAGGTCTATAATGTAGGAAGAGGAGAGGAAGAAAGAAAAGACGAGGTCTATAATGTAGGAAGAAGAGAGGAAGAAAGAAAGAACGAGGTCTATAATGTAGGAAGAAGAGAGGAAGAAAGATAAGACGAGTTCTATAATGTAGGAAGAAGAGAGGAAGAAAGAAAAGACGATGTCTATAATGTAGGAAGAAGAGAGGAAGAAAAAAAAGAGAAGGTCTATAATGTAGGAAGAAGAGAGGAAGAAAGATAAGACGAGTTCTATAATGTAGGAAGAAGAGAGGAAGAAAGAAAGAAAGAAAGAGGTCTATAATGTAGGAGGAAGGAAGAAAAGTCGAGGTCTATAATGTAGGAAGAAGAGAGGAAGAAAGAAAAGACGAGGTCTATAATGTAAGAAGAAGAGAGGAAGAAAGATAAGACGAGGTCTATAATGTAGGAAGAAGAGAGGAAGAAAGAAAGAAAGGGGTCTATAATGTAGGAAGAAGAGAGGAAGAAAGATAAGACGAGGTCTATAATGTAGGAAGAATAGAGGAAGAATGAAAGGACGTGGTCTATAATGTAGGAAGAAAGAAGAGAGGAAAAGAAGGAAGAACGAGGTCGATAAAAGAAGAAAAGAGGATGAAAGAAAGGACGAGGTCTATAATGTAGGGGGAGAGAAGAAAGAGTGGTCTATAAAAAAAGAAGAGAAGAAAGAAAAGACGAGGTCTATAATGTAAAGAAAGAAAGAAAGAAAGAAAAGAAGGTCTATAATGTAGGAAGAAGAGAGGAAGAAAGAAGAAAAGAGAGGAAGAAAGAAAGGGGGTCTATAATGTAGGAAGAAGAGAGAAAGAAAGAAAAAGAACGAGGTCTATAATGTAGGAAGAAGAGAGGAAGAAAGAAAGAACGTGGTCTATAATGTAGGAAGGAAGAAGAGAGGAAGAAAGAAAGAAGGAAGGTCTATAATGTAGGAAGAAGAGAGGAAGAAAGAAAAGACGAGGTGGTCTATAATGTAGGAAGAAGAGAGAGGAAGAAAAGAAAAGAAGGTGGTCTATAATGTAGGAAGAAGAGAAGAAAAAAAAAAAGAAAGAACGGTCTATAATGTAGGAAGAAGAGAGGAAGAAAAGAAAGAAAGGTGGTCTATAATGTAGGGAAGAAGAGAGGAAGAAAGAAAGAACGTGGTCTATAATGTAGGAAGAAGAGAGAAGAAAGAAAAGAGGAGGTCTATAAAAAAAAAGTCTATAAGAGGAAGAAGAGAGGAAGAAAGAAACGTGGTCTAATAATGTAGGAAGAAGAGAAAAGAAGAAAGAAAGAACAAGGTCTATAATGTAGGAAGAAGAGAGGAAGAAAGAAAAGAAGGTGGTCTATAATGTAGGAAGAAGAGAGGAAAGAAAGAAAGGACGACAAGGTCTATAATGTAGGAAGAAGAGAGGAAGAAAGAAAGACGAGGTCTATAATGTAGGAAGAAGAGAGGAAGAAGAGAGGAAGAAAGAAAGAAAACGAGGTCTATAATGTAGGAAGAAGAGAGGAAGAAAAGAAAAGAACGTGGTCTATAATGTAGGAAGAAGAGAGGAAGAAAAGAAAAATTGAGGTCTATAATGTAGGAAGAAGAGAGGAAGAAAGAAAAGAACGAGGTCTATAATGTAGGAAGAAGGAAGAAGAGTCTATAAGTAAAGAAAAAAGAAAGAAAGAAGGTCTATAAAGGAATGAGAGAGGGAAGAAGAGAGGAAGAAAGAAAGAAAAGGTCTATAATGTAGGAAGAAGAAGGAAGAAAGGAAGGTCTAAATGTAGGAAGAGAAAGAAGAGGAAGAAGAAGGAAGAAATAACGTGGTCTATAATGTAGGAAGAAGAGAGGAAGAAAAGAAAAGACAAGGTCTATAATGTAGGGAAGAAGAAGAGGAAGAAAGAAAGAGAGAGAAAGAAAAAGTGGTCTATAATGTAGGAAGAAGAGAGAAAGAAAGAAAGAAGGTGGTCTATAATGTAGGAAGAAAGAGGAAGAAAGAAAAAGACAGGTTCTATAAGGTATAGCCGTAGGAAGAAAGAGGAAGAAACAAAAGACGAGGTCTATAATGTAGGGAAGAAGAGAGGAAGAAAAAAAAGACGAGGTCTATAATGTAGGAAGAAAGAAAGAAAGAAAGAAAGAAAGAAGAAAGGAAGAAAGAATGAGGCTATAATGTAGGAAGAAAGAGAGGAAGAAAGAAAAGAAAAGGTCTATAATGTAGGGAAGAAGAGAAAGGAAGAAGAAAGAAAAAGAACAGGGTCTATAATGTAGGAAGAAGAGAGGAAGAAAGAAAGAACGAGGTCTATAATGTAGGAAGAAGAGAGGAAGAAAGAAAGAACGAGGTCTATAATGTAGGAAGAAGAGAGGAAGAAAGAAAGAACGAGGTCTATAATGTAGGAAGAAGAGAGAAAAAGAAAGAAAAAGACGAAGGTCTATAATGTAGGGAAGAAGAAAGAGGTCTATAAGAAAGAAGAAGGTGGTCTATAATGTAGGAAGAAAGAGAGAAAGAAAGAAAGAAATGGTCTATAATGTAGGAAAAAGAGAGGAAGAAAGAAAAAAGACGAGGTCTATAATGAGAGGGAAAAGAAAGTCTATAAGAGGAAGAAAGAAAAGACGAGGTTCTATAAGGGAAGAAAGAAAAGAACGTGGAAGAGGAAGAAGAGAGGAAGAAAAAAAGAACGAGGTCTATAATGTAGGAAGAAGAGAGGAAGAAAGAAAAAAGGGGTCTATAATGTAGGGAAGAAGAGAGGAAGAAAAGAAGGACAGGGTCTATAATGTAGGAAGAAAGAGAGGAAGAAGAAAAGAAAGACAAAGGTCTATAATGTAGGAAGAACAAGATGGGGAAGAAAAGAAAGAAGGTGGTCTATAATGTAGGAAGAAGAAGGAAGAAAGAAAAGAGTTCTAAAGTAAAAAGAGAAAGAAAAGAAAAGACAAGGTCTATAATGTAGGAAGAAAGAGAGGAAGAAAGAAAAAGACGAGGTCTATAATGTGGGGAAGAAGTGAGGAAGAAGAAAAAGTCTATAATGTAGGAAGAAGAAAAGATAAGAAAGGGTCTATAATGTAGGAAGAAGAGAGGAAGAAAAAAAAAACGAGGTCTATAATGTTGGAAGAAGAGAGGAAGAAAAAAAAAGACGAGGTCTATAATGTAGGAAGAAGAGGAGGAAGAAAGAAAGAACGTGGTCTATAATGTAGGGAAGAAGAGAGGGAAGAAAGAAAAAAAAAAGACGAGGTCTATAATGTAGGAAGAAGAGGAAGAAAGAAAGAACGAGGTCTATAATGTAGGAAGAAGAGAGGGAAGAAAAGAAAGAACGAGGTCTATAATGTAGGGAAGAAGAGTAAAAGAAAGAAGAAAGAAAAGAAAAACGAGGTCTATAATGTAGGAAGAAAAGAAAGAGGAAGAAAAGAAAGAATGTGGTCTATAATTTAGGAAGGAAGAAAAGAGAGGAAGAAAGAAAAAAAGAAAAGGACAGGTTCTATAATGTGGGAAGGAAAGAAAGAGGTCTATAATGAGGAAAATAAAGGAAATAAAACCAGGTCTATAATGTAGGAAGAAAGAAGTCTATAAGAGGAAGAAAAAAAAAAAGACAGGAGGTCTATAATGTAGGAAAAAGAGGAAGAAAAAGAGGTCTATAAAAAAAAGGGAGGGAAGGTTATAATGTAGGAAAAAGGAAAAAGAAGCGAGGGTCTATAATGTAGGAAGAAGGGAGGAAGAAAAGAAAGAACGTGGTCTATAATGTAGGAAGAAGAAAAAGAAAGTCTATAATGTAGGAAAAGAAAGAAAGAGGAACAGGTCTATAATGTGGGAAGAAGAGAGGAAGAAAGAAAGAACGAGGTCTATAATGTAGGAAGAAGAGAGGAAGAAAGAAAAGACAAAGGTCTATAATGTAGGAAGAAGAGAGGAAGAAAAGAAAGAAGGTGGTCTATAATGTAGGGAAGAAGAGAACAATAAGGAAGAAAGAAAGAAGGAAAAGACAAAGGTCTATAATGTAGGAAGAAGAGAGGAACAAAAGAAAAGAGGAGGTCTATAATGTGGGAAGAAAGAGTAAGAAAAAAAGAACGTGGTCTATAATGTAGGAAGAAAGGGAAGAAAAGAAAAAGAACGAGGTCTATAATGTAGGAAGAAGAGAGGGAAGAAAGAAAAGAACAGGGTCTATATGTTAATGAAAAGACAAGGTCTATAAATGGAGGAAGGAAGAAAAGAAAGAACGTGGTCTATAATGTAGGAAGAAAGGAAAGAAAGTGGGTCTATAATGTAGGAAGAAGTCTATAATGTAGGAAGAAAAGAAAGAAAAGAAAGGTGGTCTATAATGTAGGAAGAAGTGAGGAAGAAAAAAGAAAAGTCTATAATTCTAGGAAATGAAAGGGAAGAAAGTGGTCTATAATGTAGGAAAAGAGGAAAAAGAAAAGAAAGAGGTCTATAAGGAAAAGTGAGGAGGAAGAAGAAAAAGACGGAGTTCTATAAAGGAAGAACAAAAGACGATAAGAAATGGGTCTATAATGTAGGAAGAAAGAAGAAGAAAATAAAAAGACAAAGGTCTATAATGTAGGGAAGAAGGAAGAAAGAAAAGACAAGGTCTATAATGTAGGAAGAAAGGAAGAAAAGAAGGTCTATAATGTAGGAAGAGGAAGAAAAAAAAAGAATGAGGTCTATAATGTAGGAAGAAAGAGAGGAAGAAAAAAAAGGTGGTCTATAAGAAAGGAAGAAGAAGGAAGAAAAAAAAAAGGTGGTCTATAATGTAGGAAGAAGTGAGGAAGAAAGAAAAAAAGACAGGTTCTATAATGTAGGAAGAAAGAGAGAAAGAAAGATAAGACAATGTCTATAATGTAGGAAGAAAGAGGAAGAAGCCAAAAGACGAGGTCTATAATGTAGGAAGAAGAGAGGAAGAAAGATAAGACGAGGTCTATAATGTAGGAAGAAGAGAGGAAGAAAGAAAAGACAAGGTCTATAATGTAGGAAGAAGAGAGGAAGAAAGAAAGAACGAGGTCTATAATGTAGGAAGAAGAGAGGAAGAAAGAAAGAAGGTGGTCTATAATGTAGGAAGAAGAGAGGAAGAAAGAAAGAAGGTGGTCTATAATGTAGGAAGAAGTGAGGAAGAAAGAAAAGACGAGTTCTATAATGTAGGAAGAAGAGAGAAAGAAAGATAAGACGAGGTCTATAATGTAGGAAGAAGAGAGGAAGAAATAAAAGACGAGGTCTATAATGTAGGAAGAAGAGAGGAAGAAAGATAAGACGAGGTCTATAATGTAGGAAGAAGAGAGGAAGAAAGAAAGGAAGCGGTCTATAATGTAGGAAAAAGAGAGGAAGAAAGAAAAGAAGAGGTCTATAATGTAGGAAGAAGGGAGGAAGAAAGAAAGGGCGAGGTCTATAATGTAGGAAGAAGAGAGGAAGAAAGAAAAGACGAGGTCTATAATGTAGGAAGAAGAAAAGAAAATGAAAAGAAAAATGAAAGCAAAGGGGAATGACGAAAGAATGACTGACGAAGAGAACAAAAGAAAAAGTAACGTAGATGAATGAAGTAAGAAAAAGATTGAGACGGGAATGAGCAACAGAGAAACAGAGACAAAGTGAATGAAGGAAGAATTAATGTGAGAGGTAAGTTTATTGATATTTATTTGTATGTGAAAGCTGATTTACTGCACGCCCAGTAGATAATCTAAGAAGTGGGTGAATTGATTTCTTTTGGAGAGAGACAGAGAAAAATGGAAAGTTAGGAAGCGATAAAAAAAGGGAAAAAATGCAGAGAAAGAAAGAGAATGGCAGAAAAAGTAAGCGAAAAAGAGTAAAAGGATTTAAAGAAAAGAAGGAAACAATGATAAGGAACGGAAAATAAGAGGTAAAGAGAAAGGGACAAAGAAGGAAAGAGAAAGTTTGGAAAGTAAAAGAAAAAGAGATCTAGAGGAAGGGAAAGAAATGCTGGAAAGAGAAAGATGAAGAAAAAAAGGAAAGAAAGGGAGAAAGAGAATGAAACGATGAGAAAGAAAGGTAAGACAGAGGAAACGAATAAAAGCACAAAGAAAGGTGGAGGGAAAGAGAAATGATAGAAAGAGAAAAGCAATAGAATGAAAGAAAAAGAGCAGAAGAAAGACGGAGGGACAAAGAGAGAGAGAGAGAGAGAAAAGACAGAAAATGGCAGGAAATGAGAGAAAAAGACACGGGCAAATATAGAGGGAGAAAAAGAAAAAGTGTGTGGAAAAGACAGGGACCAAAGAGAAAGCGGAAAATATAGATGGAGACAAAGAGAGATAAAAAAAACCTAAAGGCATAAAATTGAAAAATGAGATTGCAGAAAATAAAAATGGCGCGGGGTGAGAGAAAGAGCAGGAAAATGGAAAAAAGAAAAAAAGGGAAAATAAAGACGGAAGGAAAGAGAGAGAAAAGAAAGTTAAATGAAAGAAACAGAGAAAGGAAAGTTAAAATGGAGAGAAAGAGTAAAAAAGAGAAAGGTGGAAAACAAAAAAAAAAAGGGAAAGAGGAAAAGAATTATGTGGCTGGAAGAGTAAAAACATTAAGAGTAAAAGGAATTAAGAAAAGGAAGGTAACAATGATAAGGAACGGAAAGTAAGCGGAAAAGAGAAAGGGAGAAAGAAGGAAAGAGAATGCCTGGAAAGTAAAAGAAAAAGAGGAATTAGAGATGTAGAGGAAGGAAAAGAAATGCTGGAGAGAGAAAGATGAACAAAAAAAAAGGAAAGAAAGTGAGAAAGAGAAGGAAACAATGAGAAAAATAGGAAAGACAGAGGAAACGAATAAAGAGACAAAGAAAGGTAGAGGGAAAGAGAAATGATAGAAAGAGAAAGGCAAGAGAAGGAAAGTAAAAAAAAAAGAGCTGAAGAAAGGTGACGGGAAAGATAAAGAGAGAGAGAGAGAGAGAGAGAGAGAGGAGAGAAAATGGCAGGAAATGAGAGAAAAGAAGTAGAAAGACAGTGAAATAGAAAAAAAAGAAGAAAAGGAAAATAAAAACGGAAGGAAAGAGAGAGAAAATAAATTTAGTTAGGAAAATGAGAGAAATAGAGAAAGGAAAGTTAAAATGGAAAGAAAGAATGAAAGAGAGAAAGACAGAAAAAGGGAAAGAGGAAAAATTTGGGGAAGAAAGAAAGAGAAAAGAAAGTGAGAAGAGAGACAAAAACAGAAAAAAGTGACAGAAGAAAAAGAAAGAAAGGAAAAGAGAGATCGTTTGAAGAAAATGGTGAGACATAACGAAAAGGTGTGAAAGTGAGAGAAAAAAAGGGAAACCCCAAAACGCAGATAGATATAGAGTTAAATAAAACTATCGATACATAATCTGAATTGGCAAATATTTTCGTCTTTATATGATGCGAGAAATATTCCCGAAAATAATTTTCAAATGTAGTTTTTTGATGATTCGTTCTAAGAGCATTATCGAAAAAAGAAGGTCTTTTCCATTAGTTTTTTTTTTCATTTCAAATGCTTCTAGCGTTTCTTCTGACTTTTTGCAAATGGATTGCAAATAAAATTTTATAACAATGATCCTCATGGTTTTCGAGACATTCTCTTTTCAAATGCACTTATCTTAAAGAAATATACATAAATCTATCTATCTATCTATCTATCTATCTATCTATCTATCTATCTATCTATCTATCTCTCTCTCTATCTCTCTCTCTCTCTCTCTATATATATATATATATATATATATATAATGTATATATATATGTATGTATGTATTTGGTTGGATTGATGTGAGTTTGTTATGAAAAGTGTGTCTATGTAAATATATATATATATATGTGTGTGTGTGTGTAATATATTATGTAGCTCTATTTCTGATATTGAGCGCTTTCTAATAAGTACCGCGCATATAATACATAAATGATAATATATATATATATAATATATTACACACACATACACATACGCACACAAATATATATATATATTTATATTTATATACACATAATTTTTATATATATATATATATATATATATATATATATATATATATATATATATATATACAAATTCTCCAAAATTATAACATAATCATGTGTTCAATGTGGAAACTACATGTAGATTCGGCTGTTGAAACAAAATAACTATTTTTAGTGATTTTTATAACATGTTTGTGTTATAATTTTGAGTGAATATATATATATATATATATATATATATATATATATATATATATACACACACACACACACACACACACACACACACATATATATATATATATTTATATTTATATATATATATTTATATTCGAATGGAATTTTTAAACGATATTATTTCTTATGACTATAAACATTATTTTTGGTGGGTACATATATTTTGGTTGCTACCCTGGTATATTATTTTCTTTATTTTCTTAAACAGTGAACATAATAACAGATGGTCTAGATTTTGAAGTCCTATAACAGAAGGATTGTTGGATAAACTGTAAAGGATAGTCGGAAGGGGTTTTCGACCTGACCGGTGAAGGGGAACGCCTCTCCATATCTCACGTCTACCAAGCGGCTACGGTCCAGTTGATAGCTTTGGTATCGGAGTTGTGCCTGAGAGTTGAACGGCTTGTGCTGAGGAACGTCTGAGAGGAGCGAAGGGATAACCTCAACATCCTCAGCGTAAAAGGAACTGTCAAGCAACTGTGCATTATTTTGCCTTGAATGTCACTCTGATCCAGTGAGGGGAGCGGCGGAAAATGCAATAAATGAATAAATGATTGTCCAGTACTGCCTGAGTATGAATAATGTTGCTTTTTGTCATACCTTAGTACACTCACAGAAACATTTTTTATTACTGCTGCTGCAGTTGATGATTTGCTGCCATTTCTCTTTCTTTCTTTATTAACGGCTCCCATATTGTATTTGTTTCTACGCTAGGCCTACTAAGGAGATCCTCACAGCCGAACATTGGCTCTGATCATTGCAGATGTCTAACTTTCCAGTTTTCTTCTTTGTCCAGTGTTTTCATTTCATTCTATTTCATTAAATGATCAGTATTTGGTATTTTCAAAGAAGAAGAAAAAAATAAATAAAAAAATAAATAAAAGAAAAGAAACATAGCTAATGTTTAAAATGAATTATAAAATGAAATGTCTTGAAAATAAAAGCTTTTATTTTAGCTTTAATCTCATAGAGTAAATTTAATATTTCTAATAAACTTTATTGTATTTTAAAAAGTGGTTTAAAACTAATATAAAATGACTGAAAGGATTTTTTTCCTTCTTTTGCTGTAATAGCTGATTAGTGGGAAAGTGATAGAGGCACATTTTAGTCATAGAAACGGATTTCTTGGAATATTCTTTCTTTATCAGGACTTTATCATCTGGGCCGATTGTCACTGATTACAACGTTTAGAAAATACAGTACAGGGGTAATAACTCAAATAAATGTACCGACTAAAATAACACTTATACTAATAACACCTCCCACACACACACACACACACACACACACATACATATATATATATATTAAGAAATGGACAAAGTCCGACAATTTATTTATTAAAGACATTTTTATATTTAACGTTCTTTTTTATAGATACAAGTATTTAAGTAAAGGCTCTGTTTATAATAAACAGTATAAAATAACATTTACCGGCCTGAATGTCCGAGAAATTTTCACAGAAAATATTCGTCCTTTGACAGGATTCGAACCTGCATCCTATACGGAACATTCATTTACGCTGACGTGCTTTACCGTCTCGGCCACAAAGGAGCAGTAAATTCGACCCTGTCTACCGAACGCTCCTTTGTGGCACGTCAGCATCAGAGCATTTACTTAAATACTTGTATCTACAAAAAAGAACGTTAAACATAAAATGTCTTCAATATATATATATATATATATATATATATATATATATATATATATATATATATATATATATATATATATATAATAATCGACTCTTCCGTCGCGTTCGACGTATGAGGGTCAGCCGATAAGTCCCCAGGAAACCGACATCCCGACACCGGCACATAAGACTTGATTATAGTGGTGAAGGCCTCGTGCAGGACCAGCCACACTTTTTGGAGGGACGAATACAGAAACCAGGTTTTGAATTCAGAGTTGTCCTTCTCCTATCTATCTATATATATATATATATATATATATTGTCCTTCGCCTATATATATATATATATATATATATATATATATATATATATATGTAAATTATTTACAGAAAGAGTGTATATGTAAAGAAGCAAAATGAATAAAAATAAAAAAGGAAAAACTATTCTTAGCAGAAGCCTTTCGTCCTCTGAAGGACTTTATCATGACAAATGTCAGGATTTATTTTGTTCCATGCATTTATATACAGGAGCAAGAATGGCATCGGTTTATCGAATCTTTTAAATTTGAGGACGTTCATGAAGTTGTGGTTTAAAGGTCAGTCAATATATGTGGAGGGCACAAAATGTCATAATTCATCTAGTAAGACAAAAGTAAGCGAGCAATATTCAAAAAATGTTTAAATATATGAATATTATTTGACCTGTGATCAGATTGTTATGGTTTGAGATATAGACGTATGGTGCTGTACATCTTCTTTAGCTGATTTAAAGTGTAAATAATCTGAATTGAAATAAATATTAATTAACTTAATTTTAAATTTGTAAAAAAAGCATAATCGGATTTGAAATAAATATTAATTACCTTAAGTTTTAATTTGAAAAAAAAAAAAAAATATCACGACCGTGGGTGTTTTTCTGACGTGTTGACATATATATCGACAGCCTGATGTTTGTAAAATTCATGTTATGAGGAAAAATAATTGTAATAAAATTACATGACGAATACAAAATAAACGCCGTTTTTATATTTTTTGAACTACCGAGAAATCTTAAAAGTTTAAATAATTTGAGCACTCTAATTTTTTATTGGTACTTTGGTTTTATAACTTTATTAAAAAAGGAGATTTTTTAGGAAGTCACCATTAAATTTTAAATTCACTATAGTTACTGCTCTTATTTTCTAATAATGTCGTGTATGGACATCCGTATTTACAAAAATCGTTACGTTTATGTACACAAAATATTCGAAATTAATAAAAATAATCTGGGTCACTGAATTGTATTAGGCTTTTCCATTTATGATGAGTAAATATGGTTTTGTGTAATAACAATATCACATGACCCCTAGAAAGGTTAGACACAATCTTAAAAGTTTATAAATTATTTAATTAGAATAAATAAAATTGAAACAATTCTTGTAAAGACTGATTATTCATCGAACAGTTCTGACGGAATTTCCACCATTTTTGAATAATACAATCGTCATTCGAAAAGTCAATCATTAAAATGAATATAAACAACATGTCAGTCGTCATTAAACTAACTAGAGGAATAGTAATAGCGAATCAGTGAGTTATTATCGATGAGTATTATATAGGAATAAAGTGTTGTTTTGAACATAGATCGCTAGTGAACAAAGGTGATCCCATTATTGATCACAGAGGAACAGCATAAGTAGCAAGTCGCGTCACAGCTAATTGATCGACATTTCTAGTCTATCCTTTATTACTGTATGGACTGCTATTCTCTACTTTATTCACTATAATATTTCTCTATTTGGATCACTATTATTTTGTTTGGCTTGTTCTGTTTTACGGCATATCAACCTCAATGGGTTATTTAATGCCGAAAAATTGTTATTGCTGGTAACATTTTTCAAAAATGTATTGCTGGTAATAATGTATTACTGGTAATAATATATTCCAAAATATTTCTGGTATTGAAACCTATTTTTAAAAATTTTATAGTGTTTTGACGCCAGTTTGGTGGTTAACTATTTACCCATAGCTGGGACCCTAACACGTGCTACCACCCCGGATCAGATGTGGACCTAAGAACACGCTCCTCCAGTTCCACGCTCCTCAAAACCTTCTGATCAGAGGCCTTGCTGTTGGGCGTAGTTTATCGTCTTACTAAGGATGCGGATGTAGTTTATCGCCATATCCAGAACGTCGGATCACTATACGGATTACTATTCGAGCGAGTATTATCGAGCAAGTACGAGCGATATTTGAAGGTGTCTGGCTCCAGCCTTGTTCAACAGCGTTACTATAGTTGTATCTGCGATTATAAAGTCTCTACTACAAAGTGCATTACGAAAGTAACAAAGTGAGGTAGCCTGTTCTCTGCAGATTCGGATCACTGCTCATTTTTAAATATGTTTTTTAAGCTTTTCAACCCAAGAAAGACGAGAGTGTCACTAGCACGAAAAGGGGT